GTGACGACTAAGGGACACGATGATGGCTGAGGGGACCAGGATACGGTGACGACTAAGGCACACGATGATGGCTGAGGGGACCAGGATACGGTGACAACTAAGGGACACAATGGTGACTGAAGGGACCAGGGGACACTAACAGCAAAGGGACACGATGACGGCTAAGAGGACCAGGATACGGTGACAGCTGAGCGGGACCCGGTAATGGCGGAGGGGACCGTATGAAGGCTGTCTACAATCAGGGCCAAAGGGCCGCCAGCTCGCACTGTCACTAAACACCCATCATATTTCAGAACCGGACCATGCCTTTCTGTCACATACCGGAGATAATCGGGTTCAGTAAACGACCATTTAGACGGGACGGGCACTGATCTCGACAATAACCGCCAAGCGTACAAGCTGAACCCAGAGCCTCGGCGACTGCCGACGGACGCCTGTCAGGAAGGCGGAGTGCTAGCCGGGCTAGCGAGTTAGCATGACCCACGCAGCACACTCCGGCTAAATACGGCGCCGCCTGAGCTGCACTACTAGTTAGCCCACCTAACCAGCTGGCTTTAACGTTAACGACGTGCGACTAGTCACTGCGCGGTATAAAAGCCAATAATTTCCCCGCCAATCCGGAGATATAGCCGAGTGGCTAAGGCTAGCCGCCCAGGTTCGGCTGCGGGGTGGCTGACTAATCAGAACCGAGCAGCCGCGCTGGGAGTCGCGCACCTGAACAAAAACCTAAAAATGTGGCTTTTTGACGTACTGAGCGGCCCTTCGGGTCCCGTTAACACAACCGGGCTGCCGTGGCGCCGCATATTCGGGCTGCCCGCCCGCTAGTCCCGCCGCAAACGGGCCAGTCCTGCGACTCGCTGGTTAGCTGGTTAGGGAGCCGGACACCCGTCAATGAAAAGCACGACTTCACCGACCCGACAACCGGCGAACACCCCGGGAGCCACGGGCACGGATGCTCGTCCGGCCTGCCGTCCCACGTTACGCCGCGATGCTCGGGTACAGCGAGGCCGGCTTACCGTCGACTGTGGCAGGCCTACCGGGTGCCGTGCGCGGCTAGCTGCGCCTAGGAGCGGAAAGCAGCCGCTGCGGGTCCGGCATGTTACCAGGACGCGAACCTGCCCTCTCCGGGCGACTCCTCTTCTGTTTGTCCGCTTCTAAAGGAAACCTGGAAGGCGGCTCGAGAGCGACGGTGTCCTCGGATGTCTGCAGAGCTTAAGGCGTGATGCGTGCAGTCAGGAGTCCCGGTGGCAGCCGCCGGCCGCAGCCCCAGCCCTGCCGAGTGAGGAGGGTGCGCTGACGCATCTGCAGCGGAGCAGCTCAGGTGGAGGGAAGGGGAGCTCCGAGAAACGCCCTTACGGTGCGGATATCAATAAAGCGCATCTCCACCTGCTATCATTTGTGGTCTGGTGTTCATCTGGAGACTCCCAGCGCAATCATGGAAATATAACCGCGAGTGATCTTATTGTCAAGTATTGTCTTCATCAATGCTAATGCATAATTAAAGATTCAAGGCAATTTATTGTCATGTGTTATGGACGACATGTTCTTCCGGCTCCCAATAAAAACAAACTACACAAAACAAAAGGCAGCACCGTTGGTTTTGGAAGCCCCTAAAGATGCGAATTGAGGCGATTACAAAAAGACAACTGTACAATTATGATTATATACAACACACGTCGCAGTATCAACTTAACAATGTAACCACATACATATAATGAAATAGTGTTTAGTCAGACAGAGACGTTCATATTTCTATAAATCACTCATTAATGCCACACAGTTCTTGATATTGTAAACTTCCCGGATTGTACTCCAAGCTCACCTCGATCTTGTGTATGCCAAAAGATTGGTACTGAGTTGCATATGGTTTGCAGTTTTCAATAGCTGACACCATTTGATATATAAAAATACAACTTTAACGCTTCAAAATGTGTGTAATGTGAAACGCTTACACCTGCTGTCGGAAGATACTGATATTGACTTGTAACCTGAAAATCGCAGGTTCATATGGGAGAGCACTTTGTTCTGGTGACACTGGTGCTGAAACTGAATTTAATAGCCTATAACATTTTCCATTCAGTTTACTTAGCTGAGAATTTCAACTGAATTACGGTTTTCTGGGGAAAAAAATGCAAAGCCAGACTATGTGACAATCATGCATAGGGCACAATCATATTTCTTGAATAGAAATTTATAATTATAGTATAAAATATATTATTTTATTTTATTAACCGGCAACCCAGACCAGGAAATGCTGTTGGAAAATTTGCGTGTATGATACGACTTATAGAGCCACTTAGTACTAACCTTGCAGCAATGCAGCCTGTAGCTGGAATATATGACGGTTTCTCCATAGGAAATCTTGAGCTTATCAGCAGTGCACAGTGACAGGGTGAGAGCTATCTCAGCCGAAAGCAGCGAAGACACTCCCCCTGCCTCAAGACAAGTGGCCTTTATATATAATACGCAAATATGCATTTGAAATTACAACAATGATCCATAAAGAACGTGTAAATAAGATTTTGGTATACATGTTATTTGTGGCATGATAGTAAAGGCCACACATTTTTGTTTTTACTCTTTTTCCTTTAAAAATGCGCATAATTTGTACTCTTTTTCTCGCTGTATAAATGGCTGATACTGCAAGTAACAGTTAAAGAATTAGACCAATAGTAATAGATCAACAAGATTGTCAAGGGCAGTTTACCTCATATTTGCTTTTTAAATGATCCAAAACTGACGATAACATTTATGCTCTTGAAACTGTAGAGTGTGAATTGAAGTACATAATTTGACCACCAGATGGTGCTCTGGTTCCAAATGGTATTGAGTCGACAGTATTAATAGAAATAACAATAAGACATTTAAATGGCACATACAACACTTTAAAAGCTGTGTGCGTGCTACTGCATACACATTCATAAAGGGTGAGGTAATGCTGGTTGTCACTTGTTCTGAACAATAGCGCAGCATGAGAAACTGAAGTTTGCGACATACTGTGTTTCAGTACATTATAATTAAATCAAGGACAGATCCGATTATTTCGAAAGACGCACATAAAATCAAACTTAACATTCCCACCCATTTCATCAGGCAAAAGACTTCTCGGATGTGGATTCGAACAACATTAAAAAAAAAGACCACATTCTCTAGCGAAACAGTGAAAACGGCTATCCTCCGTCAGATAGCAGTTTGAGGAAGCGGAACTTAATTTCCTGTAATGCTAAGATAAGAAGTCGAAAAGAAGACTCTGAGTTTTAAAATATGAATGCAAATTCTCTGGCGATTCAGCATGGCTGCAAAACTGCATTGTTAATAACTAAGTTTTTGAATATTAATGATCCATCTGTACAACTACACACAAAAGCATAACATGTTCTGTCAGTAATTAGTATATTAATCTCTCTATACACTAAACTCTACTGAATTGTCCAGCATTCCACCACCAGGGATATACATCTGGCTCCTGTTTGGGCTCTGTGCCTGTATAGCCTGTATGCATCTTTGCATGTCTGCTCCAGTGTCCTCACTCAGCCCAAAAACATGTGGTTTCACTGTTCCTGCAGTGTCCCTGGTATGTGTGCAGGTTGGGGGGGGAGGGGGGGCAGTTTAAGCTGTTCACTGGCTCAGTGTGAACCTGGATCCAGATCCAGACAATGGCACATCCGACTACCCAACCATTTATCCTCCATAATGTAATCGGATTTGCCCGGAGCCTGTCCCAGGACACAGACAACGGGCTGGGGGGGGGGGCGCACCATTCGCAGGATGCTGATCCATCACAAAGCACACAATTCCTGTAAC